AGCCTAAAAACTTCTTTCCCACAACCCGGTCCCCTTATCTTGCTTTGTCTCCCAGAGATATTATATCAGTGCCAGACGTGGCCTAGGGAGCCTCTGACTGCCAACTGTAATTTGAGAAGCACGGAAACACCATCCAAAGGTCTCCTCTGTTGCATGTAACAGTGGCTGAGATTTCATCAGTCACTTGAGTTTTATAGGCATCTTAGTTTTCACAGTCCCTTACTAAAATATAAGTACCTTTTGGATAAGAGGTTCTGCAAGAAGGGACATAAGTATGATGGAAAGAAAAATAAATAAATAACAATAGGCAGAAGACATTCAGGATAAAATTCTACCTCAGTCTCCTCTGGGGCTGGCTCTGAGCTTCAACTTCTGCTTCCTTAAGGGCTCTTTTCCCATGATTGCGTAAGACTTCAATCTTTGAAAGTCCCTTTCTAGCTACCTTCCTATCTCTATGTTTTCTTTCACAGCCAAGCTTCCTCTTCTTCCGTTCACACCTTAAGCCTGGGCAGTCTAGATTTTAGTGCTCCCACACGACTGAAACTAATCTCTCTAGAGCTTCTACCAGAATTCCAATTGCAAAGTTAATGATCTTCTCAGTCATTATCATTCTTGACCTTTCCAGTTGATATTGCCACATGTTCCATGAAACTTCCTCACTAGAACTCTGTAATGTCACCTTCTGCTGTACCATCTTTGCTTTTTCAAGTCCTTGGCTCTTTTTCCTGTATCTGGTAAGTACAGGAATCTCTGTAGGTCCATCTGTTATCTTTTCAATTTACCCTCTAGAACTGAAGATCCCAGATACATCTACACCTTGTGTTGATTATTTCCTGGCTACCTTTTTTTTTTTTTTTTCAAAAACATGTACAGCAGTTCATGTAAAATGCCCCACAGACACTGCAGTTTCCATGACTGAACTTATTATTCACTCCACCATAATCTAAGTTTGTTTACTCTTCCTCAAGTTAGAAACCATGAAGACGTCTTCTATTCTTCCTTTTCTTTCCCTATTCTCTAGTTAGACACTAAATCTTCTAATTCTGTTTCTTCATATTTCTTGTATCTGTCTTTCTTTCCATCCTCATTGCACTCATGATATCAAGCCTGAATTATTAGTAGCATTTCCTGCTTGCTGTATCTCTTCTCTTTTGGTTGGTTGTGGTATGTGAAAAGCAATTATTTTAAAATAACATCCAGTTTTCTCATTTAACCCCTTCATTTTTTTTTCCCATTGCCTTTAACACAAGATTTCTAAATTTTAGAAGTCATTCATAATATATTCAATAATTTGTTCAGTAAAGATCAAGCACCCACCCGCTATGTGTGGGGCATACACCACTGATGAAAGACACAGGATCCTTGAACTGCTGGTGCTTCCATTGTGTAAGGCCCTCCACAGGCTACCCATTACCTGCTTCTCCAAGCATACCTCCTACCAGTTTTCTACAATTTTGCTATGCTAACAATGCTATGTTACTGGAGTTCCCAGAACTTTTCAGTGTTTCCTTAGCATAAGTAGCAATTATTCTGTCTGCTAGTAACACCCATTTCCACTCTCTTTCCCCTCAGTCACTGTAGGGACCCTTCATATGCCTACCAGGTCTCCTCTCTTTGTTGGTTTTCCTGTTCATCATTTTCTGATCACTTCCTTCTTTGGTGACTATCACCCACTGAGCACTTCATTTACATTACTCAGAGAAGTGTGAAGTCATCTCCCATTAATTCCCACTCATACCTCTCTGACTCATCAGACAAGAGTGCCCTGAGAGAAGTGGCATTTCCTTCTGGCCCCTGTGCCTTATATATTGTGGCCAGGGAGTCCGTGTTTATTGAATAAACAAGTAAAGCTTGGTTGTTGATGAAAGTATCTGGACAGTTAGCATCGCATACCTGCCTGTAGAATTGGACCTTTCTCACACAATATGATTCTTTCTGTGGGCCAGGTGCCTAAAACCATCAAGAATGACAAAACTATACCTACTGTTACACTGTTGGGATGCTTTCTGCGTATATACATCCATTTACCTAATTAAATATCATTTGTCAGCTCATGTACATGCTCTGTCTTCATGTGCTGTTCCCACAGGAAAGTTTGGGAAAATATTTGAACATTAGAATGAAATCACTATTATAGAAATGTCCTTTAATTTTTTAGAACAACAACAAAAAAAACCACTATTTGCAGTTGCTCATTGTCTTAGTCACCTAGTCTTCCTGTAACAGAAATACCACAAGTGAAAGGCTTTAACAAACACCAATTTATTCTCTCACAGTTAGAGGGCTAGAAGTCTCAATTCAGTATGCCACCTCTATAGGGAGGCTTTCTCTCTGTTGGCTCACAATTTTCTTTCAGCGTCTGTGCACCCAGTTTTCCTTGGAGATCTCCATATGTCTGGCATCAATCTTCCCCTGGATCTGGGAGGTTCTCATCGTTGGGACCCTCAGTCCAAAGGACGTACTCTTCCGAACATACTCTTTTCCTGACTTCTTTTTCTTGGTGGTCCCTTTTTTTTTTTTTTCAGGAAAAGAATTTTTTTTTTTTTTAATTGTGATTTGGGTGAAAGTTTACAGAGCAAATTCACTTTCCATACAACAGTTCACATACACTTTGTCTCATGACATTGACTACAATTTACTCCAATCCAACAGCTCCCCTGTCACTTCCTCCCAATAGTTGCCTCTTCCCTCTGTCCATCCCTCCATGCACTCCTGCCCCCTGAGATGTTACCTTGTGCATAAACAACCCTTCTTCCTCCCATGATTGATCTCTCCAAGGAGTGTGTCTACCTCAGGTAAATGTTCAACTCATATGCCTGTCTTTTGTTTGGCTGGAAGCCACAGGAGTGGGTTCAATTCCAGACCTAAAGGGCAGCTAGGGGCCATAGTCTGAGGGGTTCCACCAGGCTCTATCAGACAAGCAAACCTGGTCCACCCTTTTTCTTTTCCCCAAATGATTTTGAGTTTTGTTCCATATTGTTCTCCCTCTCTGTTCAAGATCTCCTACATAGATCCCTCTCCAAGTGGATGACAGTGGTAACCAGGCACCATCTAGTTCTTCTGGTCTCATAGTTGTATAGGCTGTGGATCACATGGTGTACCAGTTGCTAGGACTAATTGTTTCCATGCATCTTTGGTTTTCTTCATTCTTCTTTGCTCTGGAGGAGGAGAGACCCATTGTTGCATCTAGATCGATGCTTGCAGACTTTTAAGATTCCAGTCGCTACTTGCCAAAGTAGGAGGTGGAACAATGTTTTGTGTAGTATTTGATGCCAGTTGAGCTTGATGTCCCCTGTGGCTATGGTCCCTAGCCCACTGATTCAACTACTTGGTCCCTCTGGGTAGCTGGCTGTGACCAAGAAGTGACTACAACCTTGTCCCTTGTCAGCTCTACTATACACCTGGGAATTCTTACAGATCATACAAATACAGGACCATTGTCTGCCAACCCTATACATGGTCTTGGATACACTCCCCACTTCGTTGATGTACCTCATATTTCATCCTGTCCACTGTGGTGGTCCCTCTTTATTTATTTGCTTCTGTTTTTATCTGTTGTAAAATGGTGATGCAGGTCACACTCCAGGTGTGGATCAAGCTTGTGACCTGAGTAAGGCTGTTGCATCATACTCTAACCCTACCTCATTAACATAACAAACATAGCCTAATCCTCATTAATATAACCTAATCTTGCTTCATTAACAGATACTGTTGTTAGGTGCCATCCAGTCAGCTCCAACTCATAGTGATCCCGTGTACAACGGAACAAAACCCTTCCCAGTCCTACGCCAACATCATAATCATTGCTATACCTGAGCCCATCGTTGCAGCCACTGTGTCAGTCCATCTCATTGAGGGTCTTCCCCTTTTTCACCGGCCCTCCACTTTACTAAGCATAATATCCTTCTCCAGGGAATGGCTTCTGACAACATGACCCAAGTAGGTGAGGTGAAGTCTGGCCATTCTTGCTTCCAAGGAGCATTGTGGCCACACTTATTCCAGGACAGATTTGTTTGTCATTCTGGCAGTCCATGGTATTTTCAGTATTCTTTGCCAACACCACGACTCAAAAGCATCAACTCTTCTTTGACTTCCTTATTCATGTCCAGCTTTTACACATATATGAGGCTATTGTAACTACCATGGGTTGGATTAACAAAATACCTTTTGACAGAGGCCAAGATCTACAACACATCACAAATGGAATATAATTATATCAGATCACATCATGACATTATGGGGATGACTGCATCATTGCATAACTGCTCAATTACTGAGAATCATGACCTAGCCAAGTTGACACATTTTGGGGGGAACACAATTCGATCTGTGACACTCTTGTGTCTTTATTCATAGTGCAGGATGATTTTGGTAGTTGAATCCAACTTCCCCAAGCCTCAGTCAATAAAAGTTTGTTAATTGTCAGAGGGAGATTTACTGTAACAGAGAAAACTCACTTAGTAGAGAACTCCTACTTGAAAATCAGCTCAAAACTTGTTTCCTGCTGAGGATGTCAGTAAAAACTGAAATAAAAAGAGAGACTGAATGGAAGTCACAAAAACATATTCTTGGAATTGCAAGTAGCAGATGCTAGTACCAATGAATCAAAATATCCCTTTGATGAGTAATTAATAAAACCCAGGTTCACTTTTCAAACTAATCCTTGATTATTTCATTTGTATGAATTTCCATGAGAGCCTTGTAAATTATTATGGAAAAGGTGCCACACTTTGTACACAAACTTTAAGAGGTAGTGCAACTTATCCTTTCATGTATTCATACCCAGTAAAATTGAAGATCTTAAGGACAATTTCATCTTTATTTTACTTTTGAGAAAGTTAAAGCATAGAGAACTGAAGTGACTTTCACAATGTTGGAGTAATACTGGTGAACTCTCCTATGAGCCCTCGTATTAGACCAACCATATGACTCATGATTTTATTTGGATAGTGTCATTGGGTCATAAGTCAAACTTGTATAACCTCTCTCTGTTGATTAAGGTTCCTACCTGATCCCACTCCCAGCAGCAGAACTAGCCAGCTGTGCAGATCTGGGGACCCTCTGTCAAGGTAGGGAGACAACGTCATCCTCAGGAGTCTCTCTGTTTCCTGTTTTGGATAATGTAGTTGTCATTGTTTTGATTTTGATCTTAGCTTTCACTGAGAAAGCCAGAAACCAGTCAAACAGAAGAATTTCTGGATGTGTTTTAGTTGTGTGAGTGTACAGTGCATACAGTGTGGAGAAAGAAGGCATTCACACAGTGGATGACCACATTTCCATAAAGGACTGAGTTTTTAAATGTGAATAATTATATGCTATTGAATAAGGTTTATTTTATTTTCTCCCTCTGTTTCTTCTCAAGAATCTTGCATAGATCCAGTATAAACACTGTCATACAGTATTCTGAGGAAGTATTCATGTCCATAAAACAAGTGGAAAATGGTATAATTAAGTTGGATACTCATTTGAGTGTAAGACAAGGATAAGAAGATAAGGATAAGAAGATAATTTATGATGTGAAATATAACTTTAGTAAGAGAAGAATGTGTATTAAGCCAATATTAATATAATTAATTACATTAGATATTATGAAGCTGAAACATAATGATTATATCATTCTCACTATTCCAATTATATATTACATAGTAAGTAGTTATATGCTGAATAGTATATAATAATTAAAGTCATATAATTGTGAAATAGTAATATGAATGTTATGCTTTAATTTTATCATTGCTTCTTCTAATTATCTACGACCCTTTTTCATCTATTTACTCTACTGAATGCTTCTTTTTGAAGTAGGATGCTCTGTGTCCCACATTAAGAATCATGACCGTGCCTTTGTACAAGCTGGATCTTTTATTAAGAGGATCACAGCATGAAGGTGACAGAGATTAGAAGTGAAAGTAAATGTCGAAACCTAAGTTCTCTTTTCTAGTTCAAGTATGGTGAGTAGGGCAGGCAGGGGAGGGGTGGGTAACACATCATGACCTTTGATGCCCTTTCTGAGACACTATTTCTCTATTATCATTACTTATCAATAACCAAATCAAACCAAACCCACTGCCATTGACTCAATTCTGACTCATAGCAACCCCCACTGGGTTTCTGAGGCAGCAAATTTTTACGAAAGTAGATTGCCTAGTCTTCCACAGAGTGGCTGGTGGGTTTGAACCACCAGCCTTCTGGTTAGCAGTCAGATGCCTTAGGCATTATCACTATGCCACCAGAGCAATAGCCTATGAAAATGTCATCATGTTGTTTTTCTGTATGGTTATAAAATAGTTACATGAAATATATATATATGTATATACACACACACACAATTTTTGTTGAATTCAAGATTTAATGTGCTTTTTATTTTCTTTTAAAATGAGATAGCTGCAGGCCTGATTCATATGTCAAAGGGCCAGATATCAAGACTTACTTCCTATGGCATAAATAAAAGACCACTGGTAGCACAGTGGTAAGCTCTCGGCTGTTAACCAAAAGGTCAGGAGTTCGAACTCACGAGCCTCTCTGTGGGAGAAAGATGTGTCAGTCTGCTTCCATGAAGATTACAGCATTGGAAACCCTATGGGGCAGTTTTACTTTGCCTGATAAAGTTGATGTGAGTCAGAATCGACTTGACAGCAAAGGTGGTTTTTTTTTTTTAGTTACATTTTAAATATCCAAAAGGCATTTTCAAGTTCACTGATGTATTTTACATCAATATAAACATAATTGATTATTAATAATAAAAGAAAAATAAAGACTTTCAAAAAGATTTTACATGATTAAAGCAAAAATCAAACTCACTGCCTTGGAGTTGGTTCCAACTCATAGCGCCTCCTCCTTGGGTTTCTGAGGCGGTATCACTGTGGAAGTAGATTGCCCAACCTTCCCTCTGAGGAGTGGCTGGTGGGTTTGAATCTCCAGCTTTCTGGTTAACAGTCAAATTAAGTATTATGTATTCCTTTGAAGTGAAAAATAATCTTAGTTAAGAATACACAGTTTGAATTAAAAAATTTAATATTTTATAGAGAGTCTTTTGGAAAGGATTTTTCTGCATAATGACGCAAATGTCCTAAATGTAAGTAATTTTTTTAAATTACCAATATTAACAAAAAACCCAAATTCACTGCTGCCACGTTGGATCTGACTCATAGGAACCCCTCCTTGGGTTTCCAAGGCACTGTCACTACAAAGATAGATCACCCAACCTTCCTGCTGAGTAGTGGCAAAATCTCCATTGTACAAAAGAGTGAACATCTAATACAGCTGTTATCCTAAAATAATATATGGGCAAATTAGGTGTGCCGTTTATTTAGTACTTATTTGTCTTCTCCAGAATCCGTTAGAAAGATACTACCAATAATTCCATGAGATTTTCATCTTTGAGAGTTTTAATAGTTTCAGAACCATAGCTGTGACATAATGCTTTGAAAATGTAGCCCCTGTAACGCTTGCCCTTTTGAAACACTTTATCTGTCAAGTTTAATAAACTTTTTGGTGTCTTGAAATGATCGATTTAGGCTACATTTTATTCCCCTTTGTTTTTATTTTCATTTGGTTTTTCAAAGAGAGAGACGTTTCTTCTGAGAGTTTCTTTCTCCCATCTCAATGTATCAGATGGATTTGATGTACTTTAGATACTTTCAGACTACCTTCTGTAATTATTTCATTTTACAAACTCAGGAAACAGAGTTTTAGAAGTGTTGAGTAATTTTTGGTGTGGCCATAGGCCCATTAATGACAGACCTGTGCTGAGAACCTAGGCGTCCTTCTCTCGTCCCTTTGTGCTAAAGCAGCACCAAAGGCCGTGTCAGCTGGTTCTTAATGTGCCATAGAAAGCATGGCTTCATTTTATGCATTGTAACCTTGGAGTCTGTTGTATTTAGTGCCAAGTAATGGTTTCCATTCCTCTTCTCTCTATATTAGTTGTAGATTGCTCATCCATATTAACTGTCATGTTCTCCCTGCAAAATTACATCTTTCTTATCTTTATTACCAGCTACTGTAAGCTCTCCTAGTACTACACCACCCACTGTCACCACTAACATGCCTGTTACTAATAGAGTCGATAAACAAAGGAATGGTAAGAAATCATCACCTTTTATATTTGTAATATGTCTGATGTAATAAAAATTGTATTCTAAGGGTGAGAATATCTGCTGCTCCAACCAAATTTGTCTATTATCCAAGACATTTGGATTCATTAGGTATGTTTGCACATTTGCGAGTCTTTGCAAGTCTAGTAAAATAAATAAATAAGTAAATATCACTTGCCTCTCCTGAGTTCCCAGTTTTATGACCAGTGGACTGAGTGTACTTTCACTTCCGCTCTCCCACATGTTTAACTAAACTGTCTTTCAAAAGTTTTAAGAGCGAGAGATGTAATTAAACGAAATTAGTTTGTGTTGTGAAAGATACCCATGAAAACAACTGTTCTTTTAGAGATTTTGTCATTTTGTGTGATTATTCTTCAGGAAATTAGTTTTCTTTTATAATTTCAAAACACTAAATAATCTTCAGGCTTTTAGTATCCCAGTGAAGTCATTATTTATACTCAGGAATTTATGACATTTTAATCAATTTCCATGGGAATGCCCTTTGTTTTATCTGTTGCTGAATAATGGTGAGAAAGTGATTATATATCAACTAAATCATAAATCCATTTTTGAATGACAAAAACTCAAGTGACTGCCAATATGTTATATCTTTTTTTATATGTACTTTTTCTATTTATATTATTTGTAACTTGAAATAACATCAGTTGTGTAATGTAAGAAATGAGGAGAGGAGGGGGAAAGTTGGGAGATTTTTTTATTAACTCTTGACCTGTATGAACCAGACAGGTAGCATTTTGGTAATTTAGATTTTGTGATTTTGGTTTCTTCTAATAAAGGCACATTCCAACCAGGTGACCGTACCATTCCCTTGAATATAGTAATATTCTGAAACAGGAGATATTAGAAACAAAGGAATTTTCTCAACTCAATTCACTTAGCTTGTGAAGCCAAGACATCTGTAATATATCACCAGGGACCCAAAACCCAGCATAAAGAAACCCACATAGTTCACTTTTTTCTTTTGGCTTTGGGGTTACATCAACTTCCTCTGTAAGGATATTTAAATTGGAAGTATAGAATACTTTATGTTAAATGTAGATATAAATTTCATTAGGGTTATAAAGATAGCGATTGAAAGAAGTGTTTATACTTTTCTGGGTAGTTACACCAAGGAGATTTATGATGGAGCAAAAATTCCAGCAACCTCAAGAAAGCAGCAGCAGCTGGACTTCCCAGGGCATATTTCACATGGCGTCCAGCCAGTAGATGGGAATATTGTAATTCCAACTAAGTACTCCAGTCTTTGTATGAACATACAAAGAGCCTCTGTGGCATTCTCCCTCCAGGACTGGCACGTCCTTTGCTGCCCAAGAACTTTCCTGTGATGCTGCAGAGTCCTTCACTTGGTGGAATGGGACTGTATTCACTCAGCCATGTCATTTCTGACAGTTTTGAAGAGAGCCTTGTTCAGCCCATCTCTTTTTGCGTCATAACCTTCATTGGAGTTTCAACAAAGCCAGGAAATGTTAGAATCAGTTAAAATAGTTTATCTTGACTCCATTAAAGAAAAATAGAATCTAATTCAGATGATTCTTGATTCAAAATAAGAATAATAATACTAGCATTTAAAAATATTCAAAGGTCATTGTGTGGAAGAAATGTTTTCAAATATGTGTACTCAAATGTGGGTACCATCTTAACAATTTTTACCATACCTGTGAGCTACCTATACTATTTGCTTACTAGCTTTTTTTTGTTCCCCCTAAATTGACTCACTTTTTTACTTAAATACTTTTGCTTATCTGGGGACATTTATATCACTATTGTAAAATGAAACCAATACAACTGGTTAAAAAATAGAAAGTAAAAGTGAAAATAATGTTAATGTTTTAATAAATTCTCCCAATACTGTATTGTTTGCTCACATCTCAGAGCTCTTCATTATCTTTTATTTAGTTAGTTTTTTTAAGGAAGTTATCTTTTTTTTTTTTAAAAAAAAATGTGATTTGGGTGAAAGTTTACAGCGCAAAATCACTTTCGGTACAGCAGTTCACATACACTTTGTCTCATGACATTGACTACAATTTACCACCATGCAACAGCTTCCCTCCCACTTCCTCCCCATAGTTACCTCTTCCCTGTGTCCTTCCCTCCATGAATTCCTGGCCCTTGAGCTATATCCCTGTGCATACACAGCCCTTCTATTCTCCCATGATTGTTCTCTCCAAGGAGTGTATCTACCTCAGATAAATATTCACTCATGTGCCTGTCTTTTGTTTGGCTGGAAGCCACAGGAGTGGGTTCAATTCCAGACCTGAAGGGCAGCTAGGGCCATAGTCTCAGTGGTTCCATTAGGCTCTATCAGACTAGCAAACCTGGTTGCTTTTTTTTTCCCCCAAAATGATTTTGAGTTTTGTTCCATGTTGTTCTCCCACTCTATCCAGGATCTCCTACATGGAGTGTTGACAGTGGTAGCCGGCCACCATCTCATTCTTCTGGTCTCATAGTCATATAGGCTGAGCATTATATGGTATACCAGTCACTTGGACTAATTGTTTCCATGAATCTTTGGTTTTCTTAATTTTTCTTTGCTCTGGAGGAGGAGAGACCCATTGTTGCATCTAGATGGCTGCTTGCAAGGTGTTAAGATCCCATTTGCCACTCACCAAAGTAGGAGGTGGAACAATGTTTTGTGTAGTATGTTATGCCAGTTGAGCTTGATGTCCCCTGCCACTATAGTCCTGAGCCCATAGGTTCAAATACTTGGCCCCTCTGGTAGCTGGCTGTGCCCAAGAAGTGACTGCAACTTTACCCCTTGTCAGCTCTACTATACAACTGGGAATTCTTATGGAACATACAATACACTTGTAGAAACATTGTCTGTCAACCCTATACATGGTCTTGGGCACACTCCCCCCACCCCCTGCATAGACATACCTAGTAGTTCAGCCTGCCCACCCATCTGTCTACCTGTATAGCTATGTTTGCCTTCACTGACAAAGCATTATCTTTTTAAAAATGGAGATTTAAAAAAATGTATTCAAGACTGGCTATAAGCTAATTAGGATTTTACTTCCCTGCAATGAGATTTGAAGTGACTCAAAGGAGAATTAATTGCTTTTTCACTTGTTGTTATTTGCTATTGAATCAATTAATACATTGAAGAACCCCATCTTATTCACTGTAAGTAATAACAGGCAAAACTGTCAGATATGTTGTCTACTTCTTTCAGTTTTTAATTCTGAACTCTTAGGGAGCCCTACTGGGTTCATCTGGAATGTTGTGCAGGTCTGACAGGGGAGACAGGTTGAGATTGTTTTACAATCAGCTATATTTCTACAGTATATCCACAACATCTGTTACTTTGCTATAAAATATAGTTTAGCTTGCAATTGTGATATAGAAAATTCAAACTATAAATATGTAAAAAAATAAAAAAGTCCAAAGGAGAAAATAATAAGCACAAATTCACTTTCCGTACAGCAGTTCACATACACTTTGTCTCATGACATTGACTACAATTTATTACCATGCAACAGCTCCCCCCCACTTCCTCCCCATAGTTACCTCTTCCCTGTGTCCTTCCCTCCATGCATTCCTGGCCCCTGAGCTATGTCTCTGTGCATACACAGCCCTTCTATTCTCCCATGATTGTTCTCTCTAAGGAGTATATCTCCCTCAGGTTAAATACCTAATAATCCACTTCATAGAACAGAAAAGAAAGAAATCTTGCCAACTGAAGACTTGGAGAGTTGATAGTACTTTGTATGATGATTATCGTTCTCTCATGCTTTACTCAAAAAGTTTACCTTGATATCTTCTGGAAGCCAATTTTCCCAGCTTTTAAGAAATATTCCTATTTTCTGTATAAAGTTCTCCTTGTAATTTTCAACCGGACTTTTATTTGATACCTCAGATTATGTACTAAGAAAATGTTATCTTCTAAGCTGCTTTTCACAATAGTATTTTAGGATATGATAGATACTCAACCTAGGTATTCCCACAAAAATATTCTTAATATTCCCACAAAAGGAACCTTTGTGCCTTTTCCGTTATATTCCAAAGAAGAGCTCTTGAACTAACTAAATATCTATTCCAAATCATATTTTCTATGCTTGTAACATCACTCCAGTAGTAAACTTCCGTCAAGCTAGTAGAAGCAAACCAAGTCAAAAACCAAACTCACTGCCATCAAGTTGATGATTATGACTCATGGAGACCCCCACCCCATTGGATTTCCAAGGCTGTAAAGCTTTACAGAAGCAGACTGCTTCATCTTTCTCCCAGGGAGTGGCTGGTGGGTTTGAACCACTGACCTTTGAGTTAGCAGCCAAATGTCTTGACCACTGTACTGCCAAGTCAGAACTAACTTTTAAATTGCTCTTAATTGTTCTTAAAACAATTGTTCTAAAACCCAGCTTATAAATACAAATTATAGCTCTCTTAGTTTATTAATTTATTACTTATTTCCCCTTGTTTAGCTATTCCAATAACAAACTCACTCAGAATATTTGTATCAGTCCAGCACTCAGTTTAGTTTATATGCCAGTAGCTTAAAGAAATGATGTGTAGGATCACCAGGACCCCAGCCATATTGTAAATGCCTCTGTTGTATTTACAATCGCTTCATCATCAGGTAAAGAAGTAATCTCAAATCTAAGGTAGCATTTAGTTTGTATTTTAAGGAGCTCTGGTAGCATAGTGCTTAAGGCACTTGACTGCTAACCAGAAGGCTGGCGGTTCAAACCCACTAGCCACTCCTCAGAAGGAAGATGGTGCAATCTACTTCCGTAGTGGTACAGCCTCGAAACCCAAGGAGGGATCGCTATGAGTCAGGTCTGACTCGACGGCCCATAACAACAACAACAAGTTTGTATTTTAGTGTCTTTATTTCCAAACCTATATTTTCACATCTATATTTCATATCCTTTAATAAGCAGTGGATGTAGTAGTGTAATTTCTGTGTCTCTAAGAAATTCTGAAGAGAGTGTTATTAAGAAGTCAAAAAAAAAAAAAGATAGTTGAAGAAATGTAGAGAAAGGAGTACAGTTTCAATACCATGTCTGCAATAGCAGGCAGTGATTTCCTGTTGGAAGTTCTGCATGATTGGAAGATTGATATATACTTAAATACTATTTCTTCATGAAATATCTGTCATGATTTTTTTCTGGCATGGATACCATTATTAGCACAATGCATAAATCTTTGAAAGTCTTTAGAACACATGAAGATTTATGAATAGGTTTTATAGTAAGACAGCACAGGAGTTATTACACTTGTTGGAGAAGATAACTTGATCGCTATGACAAAGGGAAAATTCTCTATCATTTTATCTTTATTGTGTATTTTGTCCAATGAAAATGATTAACCCAGATATTTATCTGCAATCCCAAAGTCCTACTCAGCATTCCTTTAGTGGACATTTTTTTTTTAAATCTTGGTTAGCTAATTCACTCTTGTACATTTTTCATAATTACTTATTGACTACATAATTTAACGTATTTAATAAGTAGGAAAAATAGGCTGTTAGGCAGTTTGGGGCTAAATTCATAAAATATCTTATTCTGAAGCTTTTGAAAGAGACTACTTGAAATTTATTCATGGCACAGGAAACTCTATAACATAAGATGCTAGGTTATTTGTGAAGTAAACATATTTAATTTGCTATAAGCAATATGGCTCTAGGGCACATACTGTATTTATAAATTGATTTTGCTGTCTCCAGTATTAGTTGTCTTTCTCATTTCTAAAAACAATGAATTGAGTCAGGAAAGGCTTACAATTTAAAGAAAATCTCTTAATCCTTGGAATGCTTCTGAAACATCAGTGATTAAACATACTGATTTTTACTATGTTGCTGTATTTTCCTGAGGGAAGGAGTGAATACTACTTTATACCAAAAACATGCTTTAGGTCTCCACCTAGTGGTACCATGTCAGCTACTCTACTCGCATCAGTGAACGTTCTCAGAAGATCCTGAGGGTCCTGAAATAACTCTTGGACCTCTGGCACTTCCACTTCCTGTCAGTCTGTGGTTCAAGCTGATGAGCTGAATGTGTAAAAAGGTTTTCTAAAGGAATTTTTATCAATTTTCTTTCAGTAGTTTTTTTTTAAAGAAATATATACAGGTTATTAAAATACCTGAAGAAGTTTAGAAGTTGAAATAACCTGGTCTGCATGAATTAAACTCAGCTGTTTTTGAACTTGTGTCAGTTATTTATGTGTGTGTATGTGTATATATATTACATGTTTGTACTATTACATTCACATTTTCTATTCTTTAACATGAGATTGTGAGTACATGGCTGGAAAAACATTCATTCCATTAATAGTGGGCCTGGGATTTACTTTTTGGTAGGACTGAGGGCAGTAAGTATGTGTACACCTATTTTTCTTTTTCTTTCCTTTCTTTCTTTTTTTTTTTTTTCTCCTACCCATCATCTCATTCAACTTATAACATTCCAGACTGTTTATCATTCTTTATAATATAAAAAGAAGAGAGTATCTTATCACAAGAAGTCAAATTACACAGTAAAAATCATCATTGTTATAGATAGTAAATGTCAGAAATTTATAAAATTAAGAATTACGTGATTATAAATTGCCAATAAGAATAAATTAATTTATAACTACTTCTAAGACTTTGCAAAGGCCAATGAGCATAAGATATAAGTATCTCAGAAATTTTGTGTAGCATGCATAGTTTTTCTTTTAAATTGTGTTAAACTGCACCATTGTAAGCTTAAGTTGTATGATAATTATATGACTCTAAAAAAATAATTAATATGGACCAAATCCTGTTTCTGATGGACAGATGGAATTGTCTATAGGATTTCTATAGTGATTCAAAACATCCTTCATCATCCTGAGGTAAAAGTACAGAGCAAGGTGGCAGAATGGGTAAGTTAACTTCTCAAATTTCTCTTCTGTTTTTAGTTTGTTTTAAATATTTAACTTCTGGAAATCTACACAGAGTTGAAACACTTCAAAAACTGTGCCATATGGGTAACTGAACCCACAGATCATACTGAAACACTGATATATTTATCATAAATATATGCATAAATGTATAATAAGTGAGGTGCTGCATGAATACATAGAGAGAGAGGTGCATTTGAATAAAGGATCAGAAATGGAAACTAACAGACTATGTCTTCAGTAAGAAAAGTACCATGCAAATGGAAATGAGTTTTGATAGGTATCTCTATTTACTGTTATACCCATATATTTTCACCACTATTTTTTCAAAATTTATTTACTTATTTCTTTATTTGAATATTTGGTCCAACAATGAAAAAAAAAATATAAAAAGATATATTATGAAAGTCTGTCTTCTGTCCTTATTGCTAACCTGCCTGGAGCCCATTTGCTTGGAAGTCACTGTTTATCTTGAGTTTTTCCAAAGTTTCTTTTTGCATATAAAAGCAAGTAAGACTATGGATTGTTGGTTTTTCCTTCCTTTATCACAGTGAAGAGAATGTGTTTTACATATCATTCTATACCATATTTGTTTTTTTTCACCAGATTTTCACTATTAACGCATAGAGAACTTCCTCATCTTTTTAAAACACATTTTATTTTAGAGCAGTTTTAGGTCTACAGAAAAAAATTACACAGGTCACACAATTTATATAACCCCCACTGCACAGGGTCTCTTATTATTAACAGTTTATAGTCCTATGGTTCACTTAAGGAGTTCTACTGGTGCAGTTGTTAAAGCATTTGGCTGCGAACCAAAAGATCAGCAGTTCTAACCCACCAGCCACTCCATGGAAGAAAGATGAGGCAGTCCACTTCAGTAAAGGTTTATAGCCTTGAAACCCTATGGGTAGTTGTCCTCTGTCCTAAAAGGTCACTATGAATCAGAATCAACCCAAAGGGAGTGGATTTGTTTTGGTTTGGTTGGTAGTACAATTGATGAACCAGGACTGATACAGTACTATTAACTGAAGTCCATAGTTTCCATTAAGGTTCACTCTTTGTTGTACAGTTCTGTGGTTACTGACAAATGCCTAGTGTCATGTGTCTACCATTACAGTATTAGACAGAACTCACCCCTCTCAACCAATGTGTATTATTACATTATGTGGCTATACAGTCATTTGTTTAACTGGTTTTCTCTTGATGGAATTTAAGTTGTAATTTATGTAACCAATCTTCTATTGATGAAAATTTTGGTAATTTCCAATTAAAAAACAAAACAAAACAAACTCCCTTCTTTCCTTTACAAATATAATCTAGGTATAATTTTTTCGTTTTCTTCTCCCTAATAACAAAGATTTTATTATTCTAATGGTTTCTATTTTTCTTTTAATTTGCTTTCTACTCAGTGTACTGCAGGGATTCTGTACTACTTTTTCTATATAAGATTTTTTTAACTTATTATTCTATATAATATATGTAAATAATATTTATTATTCTATATAAGATTATTTGTCTATTTAAGATAATTTCAGTGTGAATAAAGTCCCTAGAGCATACATTCTTAAAGAAAAATATTTTTTCTCTTGCTGTAAGTATCTCATAAATGTACTTACAGCAGTAGCTAAAACAAGTTAAACCACACATTTAGAGGTCATGGTGACAGTGATTTTTTTTTCCTGTATATATTTGAAAGGAACTCCAGTGGCACAAGGGTCAAATTATTTGGCTGTTAACCAAAAGGTCAGAGGTTTGGACTCACCAGCTACTCTGAGAGAGAAAGATGAGGCAATCTGCTTCTGTAAAGATTTACAGCCTTGGAGACTCTATGGGGCAATTGTACTCTGTCCTGTAGGGTCACTATGAGTTAGAATCAACTTGATGGCAGTGGCTATACATATTTGAAGAATAACTGAGAGGAAAACAGAATCTTGGTTTTGAAGGCAATACCCTTTACAACAAAGTGACCACAGGAAACAGTTGTTGTTGTTGTTGTTATGTGCCGTCGAGTCGGCCCCGACTCATAGCGACCCCTCCTTGGGTTTCCGAGGCAGTTATCACTACGGAAGTAGGATTGCCCAACCTTCCTTCCGAGGAGTGGCTGGTGGGTTTGAACCGCCAGCCGTCTGGTTAGCAGGCAAGTGTCTTAGCCACTATGCTACCAGAGCTCCCATAGTATGTAAATAAAAACTCTATGACAAAATTGGAGGTGGAAGAGTAAAATTCACAAAAAGATGTCAAAGAAATGCTACTTTTGACTCTTTAGGGAATGAAATCTTATTAGTAGCTAACTGAAATATATTTTAGAAGATGTGTTTGATTTCTAAATGGAGAGAGTAGGCTTTAAGGAAAGAATTTATTCTTGTGTCCTGTTCTTCTGCAAATATTGTTCTTGTTGATATACTCAAAGTCAGAACAATTTCAAAAATGGAATTCTTTAATACTTGGACAACCCAGTGATGATCATTTTAACCTTAAAAGTTAGTGTTCATTGAAGAGCCTGATACTTTAGGCAGGACATCATTTTGCATTCATATCACATGGTTTTAATATAGAATCTTTCTTGTCTGAAGCTAAATTTTTACAAGACCCAAAATATCAAAGCAGACTCTTGATAATAGAGAATATAGAAGTGATGTTATTAATCCATGCTATTCTAATTTACAATTAAAAATAGTTTAATCCTTTTTGCCAGAACTTTCTATAATTTACATTCAGTTCCCGAAAAGCTTGCAATGAATTGAAATGTGTGTTTGAAACAAGACCAAATGAACATTTTAGAGGTGCTATATACATAGGTAAGAGCTCTGGTAGCATAGTGCCTAAGGCACTTGACTGCTAACCAGAAGGCTGGCAGTTCAAACCCACCAGCCACTCCTTGGAAGAAAGATGGGACAATCTACTTCCGTAGTGATACTGCCTCGGAAACCCAAGGAGGGGTCACTATGAATCGAGACCGACTCGACAGCAGTGAGTTTGGTTTTTAGTTTAAATACATGGGAGCATTTTTTTTTCAGCAAAGAAATCCTATTTGTGATTATTGGATAATGTGCCGTGGAAGCTTGGGAGGAATCCATTGCTTCTTTAAAGTCTGGTGCTCCAACCCATGAATACTGTTAAATAACCATGCAATAATGAATATAGTTCTCTATAATGTTGAACTTATTTTTGTTTCTATACTGGTTTCTTTTCCATTTTATTTTTCTTATCACAAATATTCTTCCAACTTGCTGCCATCATGTTGATTCTGACTCGTAAGGACACCCGTTGGGTTTTCAAGGCTATAAATCTTTACAGAAGTAGATTGCCTCAGCTTCTCCCTGCAGAGCAGCTAGTGGGTTTAAACTACTGACCTTCTGGTTAGTAGCCAGATGCCTTACCCACTATACCACCAGAGCTCCTTCAAATATTCTTATGAGATGGTCATTACGGAAACTATATTGGATTGCATTTCAGTGTTTCTTAAATAAAGAACATGAGACATGCATGTTTCTTGTGCTAATCTTCCTTGCATCCCCTGTTATAGCCCGGTTCTCAAGTTTATAGATAATATGAAAGTCATAAATCCATGATACTATGACGTACAGAAGAAAGTATAGTGTTTCTGGACTGACAGGCTTCGGTTCAATCTTGGATCTTCTACTTCTTAGTTGGGTGACTTTGGTCAAGCTATTTTATCTCCTTGAAACTCACTTTCTTCATTCAGAAGATGGGAGAAATAATTCCTATCTCGTTGGGTGTTGTGAGGATTGAAAGAAATAACATTTGCAAAGTTCCTGCCATACAATGGTTCAGTAACTGTTATCTTTACCTTTGACTCCTCAAGCTATCCAGGATTTTCCCAGGGTCTTAGTCCAATAACAACTTATCTTTTGGGAGGGAAGAAACTTGATTCAGATAAAAAAGAAATTCTCAAAACTCACCCTTTCCCATTGTGATTTTCAGCTCAATTCAACCTTCCAGAATTGGAACTACACTGTTTATGTGGTTAATATCAGGTAAATGATATAATGAATTATTTGATAAATTAAAAAAGTTGTATTTAATTCACTACCTCTTTCTCTGGCTGTACCTACACAAACATACACAAAGATATATGTACATCCACTCACGTATCTTATTCATAGTCTTTCTACAACTCTGTATGATGTCATTTCTCTGCACAAAAACCTTCAATGCTATAGTGACAACTTTTAAAATATGTGATCATATAGCAGTAACAATTAAAAGAAATTTAGCATGTACTCCCAAAAATGTATTTGTATTTTTAAATAGGTTGTATATGTATTATTAAACCAATATATTATAATGTATCAAAAAGTTTAAAGAATAATTAAATAAAATATTGATAGAAGCTGTGTGACTTTCTTCTCATAACCAAGTGGATCATCTAAAGTGCCGCCAGGTTGTGTGTATCCCAGTTTGGAGACTATTCTTTTTCAACAATGGACAGTTGCAGTCTGATTGCAACCTGGCTTTTCAAAATCCCTCTAAATTTAAACACTCCACTAAATCGCCACCAATAGTATCATTCACATATCCTCATCTGTACATTCTTTTTTACAGATAAATTAAAATTTTCTACAATATATATCATGAACTCTAAACTTGTATTCAGTGAACCCAAGGGATGTGACAACTCTTAACACAGAAAAAGGGATTCAGTGGTCAAATAGGTTCAGGAATATGTTATTCAACAGAATGAAACACTTCTGTCAGGACTTTTCAGATTCTCACTGCTGACTGATGTGCATCACGAGTCTTTGAGAGAGAGCAGGAGTACAGAGTTACCCTGTTTTATTTGACTGTGGAGTCATTCTGTCTCAGGTGTATGAAAGAACTGGAAACTCAGAACACGTTTGCAAGTGCTGCCTTAGAATGTCTGTCCTGCCTCTTTCTTTCACCTCCTCACATTTTGTTGTTGATGATGCAGTGCATGAGAATGGTAGTGAATATACATATTTGTATTTTTTAGTGTTCATCTGAGCACTGGAGAGGACAAGATTAAAGTCAAGAGAAGCATTGGGGATGATTCAAGGTAATGGTGAAAAAGTCAGAAAATGTGACATTCTTTGTCTCGGCTGTGTTTTGAATATCTGGTAGAGAAATAATAACAATGATATAGGACAACAAAATTTAATGAAAAACCATATTTAAGGGATTCCTAGCACTAATGAACCCTTTTTTTTTTTGTATTTAAAATCCTAATATCACAGAGTAGGTTGAAATGCACATCTGATGAAAAATAACTCAGAAGTTAACATTCAAAATGCTTAAATTATTATTTTCAGTCTTTCTAACATATTTATTATAACCTATTACTCATTTGAAATTTCAGGGAGACTCTAAAAGTAAAAACACATAATTTATAGTTTCCTTTTAAATAAAAGACTTATATACATCTAATAATGTTGGTAATAAGTGCCAAAATATTCTCACCCTTCAAAGCTATCAGCTAATTCTATGAGGTCTCCATTTTTAAATTTATGTCAGGATCATGACTTAAGCAGGCAGATAATTTAATGGATATGTCCACCATATGTTACTAGTTGTATGAGGACCAGCTGTTCACAGTGCTGTCAAATTGCAAGGCAGGGAGAGGGAACCTTCTAAACGGAACCAGTTTAGAGTTCAGGCAGTGTATGGCATCTCCGCAGAATTAAAAAAAAAAAAGTTGAAAAGCAAAAATTCTCATAAGTTTTACTCAATTTTAATGGACTGAATTGATGTATTGTATATATAACCATGGTGATGTGTAGATAGTCCTTATCAGATGACTTATTCTTGCTATTAAAAGATAAAAATAAAATTTCATATGAGAGTTGAGCAGTTTTTTTGTTTTTCTATTTCTGTTGAACTTTAGAAAAACAATGTTTTTCAAGTTATATTGAAACTTGTCATTTTTTGTGTACAGATTGGATTGAGCTGTCAGATAAGAGAAAATTGTACTGATTTTCTCACATTGTTCCTCTTCCTTCATGACCTACCTGAAGATGAGAGTAACGGTTGTCATTTGTGTATTCTTGGAGATTACTGGATTTTCCCTGCTCTATTTAGCCAAATAATGCCTTTTCCAGCCTTACTGCATGATCGTACTTGACCTTGAATGAATAATGATTCTAGCAGAGCACCTACCACACATTTATCTAGCAATTGGTGCAGCCCTTGTTTGAGGTCTCACCAAATGGTGTCCCCTTTTCAGGAAGTAAATCTTGCCTGTTTTAGTTTATTTACTGTGATTCTTCTGCTCCCTGGTAATATTAAAATCTGCTGTCATTAGTATATGCCAGGACTGCAGAAGCTCTTGCCTGAAAGCCATTTAAATTCATAGAACCTCAGTTTTCCTAATCGGTCAAAGAATGGGTAATTTCACAGGAAACTATACGAATAATGAACTAAGACCATGCATATGGGAAAACCCACATATTTGGATATTTTTTTAGTGTGAAATCTCAACACTTTAAAAATATTTATTCTTACTGTCTTTTTCCCCCTCTCCTTTTTTCTGTTGTATATTCTTTTACTCAGTGATGAGCCCTTAGAATCTCTCATAGTTTCTTCTCAAAACCACAGTTCACTGGTTTTATACACACCTCCATTTTCTATACTTTTCCTTTTCAATCGGATTGTATCACTTAACACAGAACATAGCTTTAGATAATGTTATCATACTCTATCGCCCAGACAGACAGGAAACCAAAGCCACGGAGACTGGTTTATTCAAATAAAGAATGGTTGATGGTAACAACAGATAGAGGTTGACTTTGTAGAACCGTAAAATAGTTTCAATTTTCGGGAGGAGAGAGGAAAAAAGAGAACCACACAAGTACAGATAAGACCAGTGAAAATAGCACGGCTGTTCTTAAAGTGCTGAGTTTAGTATTCAGTACCATCCACAACTCATTATGCTAATTATGTTCTCAATATGCAAGAGAAGTGAAAGGTTACAGTCCCAAATGTAAGTACTCAGTAACTGGAGTGGCAAAGCTTATCTTTAAACAACAAAGAATACATTTTGGTAGGGCATTTAAAAAATTATTAAGATACTGCAGTTCACCATTATAATCACATCTGTGTTTGTCTCATTCTGAAATATGGGTTACATATGACCAGCAAGCAGTAGATCGTTTTAGAGATAAATAGCTCTTTGGAATGAATTATGAGAATCATAGAGCACTTTGTCCCTGACGTTAGCATGGATGGATGAGCAGGCAAAGTAGAGCTATTCTTTAATTTCATCTAACCTTGATTAACCAGTGTTTCGCTTATTCTTTCACTTTTTTATTTAGCACCACAAATATTTTAGTACTCACACTATTTCATTTTTATTAATACTCACAGTCTTGTACAAAGGAAAACACACCACTGCCTTTCCACTGAGCACTTCATAGCTATTTTCCAAAACAATGCTATTGCTGTGATTTTGGCATGTGTCAGAGACAGATCTTGGTAATATCTTATCTTACATCGTAGTGTTCATTTCCTCTCATAATCTGAAGATGAAAGTTTTGTTGCAAATCCAGAGCCTTGACATAGAAGGAAATAAATTTGTCCTCTACCTGACAAAAGATCACCATTTAATGTTACCTCTGTATTGAACTGATAGCTGTGATTTCTACTATTAACTGTAAGTGTGATCACATTTGAGCAGAACATTGTACTACTGCAAATTGTAGAACAAAATTTTAACAGGGCCTTTGGGATATAAGCCTTTGCTTTCCCATAGAGATATTTTCTTCTTAAAATTTCTTCAAGGTCAGATATTCTGTAACCTTCTTCAGTAATATACTGACCAGTCAGAGTGTATTTTGAGTGTTTATCTTGTATCTTCTTACTGTACAAAGTACTTATAAATGCTGAAAGGAGATGGAAAATCATGTGTCACAGTCCTAAAGAAATTGTGCCATATATGTAAACGAAAACACTCTTCACCAATAATTCAAAAGGCAAATGATCTGTTGAATTCAAATTTTTCTAGGAAAAAAACAATTTATTTTTGCTCGTATAGAAATAACAAAGAATTAACCACAAGCATGGCCTGTTTATGCATATATGCTCTAAAATACTATAAAATATGAACAGAAGTGGAGGAAAATGAAGTCCACTCTTCACCAGTATTAGCCCTACCCACCTGGACTAATCTGTGCTACTGCTTTTCCTTTGATCAATTTCAGTATCACCAATCACAGAACAATGTAAGCAACAAAGTTATCTAGGTTACTCTTTGGAAGTTTGCTGTCATCTTGGTAGTGCTGTCGTTTGGGAGCATGAAGAATATCTCTTTTTTGTAACATGAACTGAAAACATTTGCCATAGGGTTGATTCTGACTCATGACTACTCCATGTGTGTTAGACTAATATTCCTGCAGATACACAGACAGACAGACAGAGAGATAGATATTTAGGTATATCTTTTTATTCCTATTTTTCCTGTTATTATTACACATTTTCATGCCATAAAAAATGAATAAGAAATACATTTATTTTCTTAGGTACCTCATAGTTGAGTAAACATTTATTATATTTGACTAGAAGTTAAATTTCAGGGAAATTGTGTCTTTAGGTTGATTTAAAATTTTGTAATTTTGGTTATTGTTATTGGAGAATCTCCATCACTGCTCTTTCTGTCTAATGTTAATTTGCTCACATATATGAATCGGGCATTGTACAGAGTGTATGGAGGTTTTGTCACTCCTTCCCAGAGCCTTGTAAGGCAAGAAGATAAGACATAAAGAAAGCCTATACTTGGTTGAAAGACGTAAAGAAAGCCTATACTTCAGTTCTTTCTGAGTCTCTTAGGGGCTTGTTATCATGGTAGTGCTGTTTAATGTCCCTGTGAATTCTCTTATTTTTGAATCTCTAGTTTCTAGTCCATTGTCTGGCTCATAGTGATTATTTAGAAGAGTTTGACTGGTGTTGAATTACTAATAAATGTGAGCATATTTGATAATTATAACTTGTGTGTAGAAATTCAGGTTCTCCAGAGTCAATAAGATGCTATTGTTTTGTTGTTTCATCAACTCAAAATTTATGCTCTCTTTCTTATCCAGTTCACCTCAAACTTTTAAGACTATCTCATAAGTAATAAAGTTGAGAAAGTTCTATAGCAAATAATGATAGTTTATAGGCATTTGCAAACTCAATTTAACAGTCTGCCCTTTTCTGCTACATAACTAAAAATGCATGGTGATTGTCTTAGATTTTCTCATGTGGCCAATTATTGAGAATAAACAAAGTTCCAGCATAAGCCTAGTGTTGAAGGTTGGAGGATAAAAGATAGTCACACTCTGGCTGGGGAGAAAAAATCTGATAGAAACAGATAGAATCCTACATTCAATCTTCTATAGTATCTATTCGTTTGAAAAGATTTTAACATTATAATTTATACTACAACAGAGTCTATGAGTGACTTGGCATATCTCTTCAGTCTCAACATTTGTAGGTGATTTTTCTCATTACCATATCCAAATGTTTTATTTTTCTCACCAAAAGACAATCAACCAACCAGTCAACAACTCCAACAAGAATTCTGTCTCAAATATATTTTTAGGTTGGTGATTTGGGCTCTTCTAGTTTACAATGCTACCAACAATATCAACTTAGAAGGAACAACCATTCAGCAGAAGCTCTTAAAAAATAATGAATCCCTGAATGAGGGCCTGAGATTATACACAGTGACTGTGAGGCAACTGAGTAAGTGACTTTAATTTTTTTATAATATGTGTTTTGGATGACTATATTTTCAGGCTTAGTTAAAACTACATAAAGAAGAACAACAAAAAATTATGTCATGACATTACCTAGAGATAAAAAAAGAAAGCGTGATGATTGAGTTTGGAGTGTGGGTACAACATCTGGGGTTGGCACACAGGTATCTTCTTGCCATCCCACCAAACATTCAGGCATTTGGAACAGCTGGAAATTTTTCTGTAAAGTATGCTCACAACTCAATGAAAACACTAGGCTTTTCTTGTTTGAAAATGACCAGGTTACATTTTCATCGTTCAGGATTGTTTTCATTATAGAGAGCCCTGTTGGCATAGTGGTTAAGCACTCAGCTGCTAACTGAAATGTCAGCACTTTGAACCCACCAGCTCCTCCACAGGAGATAGATGTGGCAGTTGCCCTCCATAAAGATTTACAGCTTGGAAACCCTATGGGACAGTTGTACTCTGTCCTGTAGGGATGCTATGAGTTGGAATTGACTCAATGGCAATGGGTTTTGGGGGTGTTTGGAGTTTCATTTTATGTGTTGTTGTTGTTGTTGTTAGGTGCCATCGAGGGAGCCCCGACTCATAGCAACCCCTCCTTGGGTTTCCGAGGCAGTATCACTGCAGTAGTAAATTGCCCCATCTTCCTTCCGAGGAGTGGCTGGTGGGTTTGAACCGCCAGCCTTCTGGTTAGCAGTCAAGTGCCTTAGGCACTATGCTACCAGAGCTCCTTTCATTTTATGTAGTATTTTGTATAGTTTGAATAAAACCTTATCTAATCTACTAATGGTTTACATTAAAATGGAAATGAATGGTTCATGCTTGTATTTGCATATTTTTTTTAAATTTTTTTATTTGATGGTTTTATAAGATATAATAATTGTTGAACCTGGAATGTATTTAATATTTATTTTTTTATAAAATCTAAACATTTTAAAATGAGTGTTTTGTATTATATGAAAAAAATACCTAATTAGCACATTGTCATATTTATCTCATATTGTCATCATTAGCTTTTTTAAAAAATAGATTAATATATCTTGTGTTGTTTTTTATGTTCACATAGATACATGTCCTGCCAATGAGGAGCCTAGAGGCTATCTGTGGCCCAACAGCCAACCTTCTGAATATATTCTACCCTGTAATGGAAAACCTGGTTTTTATGCTTCACGGATATGGTAATAAGTTCATTAACTCTTGCCAACAAAGTTATCTGCCCTCCCAGGATTACATGTTTGTTGTCTTATTTTCCTAGGAGTGCCATAACACAAGAGCACAAAGTGGGTGGCTTTAAAAAGCAGAAATTTATTTTCTTACAGTTCTGGAAGCTAAAAGTTCAAGTCAGGATTTCAGTCCCATCCATCCTTTCTGGGGGCTTTGGGAGAGGAACTGCCCCATGCTGTTCTCCTAGTTTTTGTTAGGGCTGGTGTTCCTTAACATTCCTTGACTTGTAGTGGGATCCTCACATGGTATCTTTCCCCTGTGTGTATATTTCCCTATCTGTCCTTTTATAAAATGCCACTCAGAACATCTAGGATTAGGATCTATCCAACTCCAGTAGAACTGCGTTCATTTAACTGATCTGCAAAGAAACATGATTACATTCAGTGCAGGGGTTACAGCTTCAACCTATAATTTTGGGGGACACAGTTCAGTCCATATTGCATGTACTGAATGATAGTTCCCATGCATTGTATTGATTGCAGAAAAGGGCATGAATCACTCTGTGTATGCTTAAGTCATATACTCCATGGGGATAAAAACGAAGGAGGGAGGTTACCAAGAAAGGCAGTGTTTTCTTTCCAGCAACATGCTAGATTAGGCTTCTCCAACGAAAAGTCAGGAATTTGGAAACCAGGGAGTGGTTCTGTAGAGATGAACCAGCGCACAGCCTTGAAAGCTGCGTCTGAAGTTCCAGGACTTTTTAACCATTTGGAGTGGTTACTGTTGGAGGGGAAAGAGGCAGCAAAGAGGCAAAAGAGACAGGGTCTAGTTGGGGCGATCATGTGATTGACACTGGATATGGGTTTTCCCTAAATGTTTAACAAAAACTCAGGCCAACTGCCGAAGATTCATCAAACGGGAAGTCAAATCCAGTTCTTCATTCTCGCCCCCTTCACCACCCCCACCCCCCCGCCAGTTAGAGTGTTCTTGAGGGATTTCAGGAACTGCCCAAGTGTAAGTACTTGTACCTACTGGTGTGTGTGACATTTGGTAATGAGGAAAGTAGGGGTCTTGAGGGACTTATAGACATAGTTCTTCCTGCCTTGTGAGGCCTTAGAAAATTCCTTAACCTTTCTAAATCTGTTTTCTCATCTGTAAAATGTGAATAATAATCTATTTTACAGAGTTATGTAATGATTAAAATCAGATTATACCTGGAAGGTTTGTAAAGCAGTACTTGACCCATGTCACCAGATATGCCTTTATTTAACCTTGGTAACCTGATGTATCCTAGGTTAAGATACAGTATTTAAGATGTATTTAAGATGCTAGTATTTTGAGCTCTGGTAGTGTAGTGCCTAAGGCACTTGACTGCTAACCAGAAGGCTGGTGATTCAAACACACCAGCCACTCCTCAGAAGGAAGATGGGGCAATCTACTTCTTTAGTGATACTGCCTCAGAAACCCTAAGAGGGGTTGTTATGAGTCAGGTCCGACTTGACGACACATAACAAAACAACAACAGTATTTTGAATTCATGATACATGCAACTGATTCTTTTCCAATAAGAATTTTTAGTACAAGTTTTATTTCGGTGCATTGCAATCTGATTTTCAAATGAAACTTTGCCAGATCTCAAGATAAATTCTAAAGCATATTATTTACTAATTTTGTCAGTTAAAATGTCATTTGTGTCAAATATGTGAAATATCCTTTCTTATTTCATAGTCACCGCAATCTTACCAATGCATCTTCAGCCCACTGGGGGGTTCCTGATGTCTCCAATTGTTCAAGTAAGTGAGAAATTTTCCTTCCATTCTCAAAAACAAAAATGAAATGACCTCAAGCTTCATGGTTTCCATCCTCTTCAAATATAGTTTTCTCCTGTGTGACATTATATTAATAGAAAAAGTTAGACCAATGGTTGTTTTACTTACTTAAGGTTGAAGACACATTTTTTTGTCATTATATTTTTGTGTTCTGTTCATTCTGAAGGGAGATTTAAAAATACAAAAGTATAGAGAAGATTTAAAAATAACATATAAATTTATATTTGTGTCGATGTTTTATAGTTTTGTATTATTCCCAATTAGCAAATGCAATGCTTTCTCAGCAATGCTAGGGGCATTTCTCTTAGAACGATACATTAATATTGGTCCTTCCAACTTATTTACTTTAGTTATTTAAAAGCTCAGTATGAATCTCACTGAAGAGAGAAGTTAGCCTCTATTTGCCACTTTAAGGAAATATTATTGCCATGTGTAGATTGTGATAAGGGAGTACGCGCAGGAAGTCTCCTTTTTGCTTCAAGTATGAAATGAAATATTGTTCTATGTTGTAGATTCCTGGAAATGCTCAAAACAGACAGGTAAAGCTTTGCATGTTGTGTCCTCTGCTTTTTTTTAGGTAACCTAAATAAAGTCAATACGATTTTAAATTTAACTAGTGAGGGGCAGAACTTGACCTCAGCCAATATCACCAGCATTGTAGAATATGTGAAAAGAATAGTGAACAATGAAGACAACATTGATATAACACTTGGCTCCACTTTAATGACTATATTTTCTAATATCTTAACCAGTTCAGACAGTGATTTGCTTGAGTCTTCTTCTGAGTAAGTATTTTTTTGAGATTAAAATTCATTGGAGAAATATGTTAATTTATTGAAATGTGTTAAGTAATTTCTTACATAGGTAAATGCTTTGTGGCCAAATTTCATAAATAAAATATGTAGACACTTCCCAAGGTCATTCACAAAGAAAAAGATAATTTACAAAGTGATAAAAATTCTCACCAGGCAAGGTATATAAATAGCCCAGAAAAACATAATCAGGTTTTCTTTAAAATTTTTGTTTGAAAAATTCTAAAAGTTTGATAAACTATAGTCAATTGAAAAGGCAACAAACTGTCCAAAGATTAATTTCGCTTTTTGCAAAAGATAATTTTTGCTCACAGAAGAGACACTCAGCAAACATTCAATTCACATGCCTTATGTATAACTTGATCACTGTAATTCCACCATCCTTATTAGCCATAAGGAGCTCTGGTGGCGTAGTGCCTAAGGCATTTGACTGCTAACCAGATGGTTGGTGGTTCAAACCCACTAGCCATTCTGCAGAAGGAAAACTGGGCAATCTAATTCCGTATAGATTTACCGCCTCAGAAACCCAAAAGGGGGTCGCTATGAGTCCGAATCGAGTTGGTGGCAGTGAGTTTGTTTGTTTGTTTTTGGTTTTATTAGCTGTGCCACAAAACTATGCAGTTGTTATGCTTTTGAAATGAAAACTCCTAGAGCAAGATCCAAAATCTACCTACATTTATACAATTCAATTTGTACATTTAATGTATTAATATCAGTGTGTTTAATTTCTTCTGTTTCCTTCCTTTCAACTAAATTTTCTTGATGAACATTATATATTTGTTAAAATGTGTTTTCCAACATAGCCTATCAATATAATGGTAATTACAAACACTTTTAGTGTCTTAAGTTCAAAAATGTGCTTTCACCGCATTTCCTGTGATTTTTCCAACCAAGTTAGGATGTAGGGAAGGTATTTTTCATATGAAGAAGGTGAGGAGAAGAGGAAAAGCATACTACCTAACTGTTAATTTTCCTAAAAGCAGATGTTTCTCTGGAGGATACATCCAACACTGTGAATCTGTGTTTTTACTGACATTGTTTTGGTTGGTGGGTCATTTTGTGGCATTCATGTTAAAGTCAGGAAACTTGTAGATGATTGTTCTAATTGCATTTTGCTCTGGAGTAAACCATGTATGTGTGCAGTGCCTAAGCTGTTAAATTGCTTAACAGTGGTATTGTTATTTGTCATTTCTTTAGAGCTTTAAAAACAATTGATGAATTGGCCTTCAAGATAGACCTAAATAGCACATCACGTGTGAATATTACAACTCGGAATTTGGCACTTGGAGTATCATCTCTGTCCCCAGGAACAAATGCAATTTCAAATTTCAGCATTGGTCTTCCAAGCAATAATGAATCATATTTCCAGGTAATAAGCCAGTGATTTCTGTAGTTAATTAATTGGACAAATAAAAACTTGCTGTTCACCTAGTAGTTGTTCACTCAAGTAGGTCTTGGTCCAAGAGGTGGCAGGTAGACCTGAGCACTGGCCAATATTAATGACAGCCATCGTTGTTGGGTAGGTGCCTTTGAGTTGGCTCCAGCTCATACGACCTTATATATACGACACAAAACATTGGACATTGGTAGGTCCTGCACCATCTTCATAATCATTGTTAACGTTTGTGTCCATTGGTCCAGCCAGTGTATCTATCAGTCCATCTCGTTGGGTCTCCCCATTGCTTTGCTAACCCTAACTTTAGCAAGCACGATGACGACCTTCCATAAGGATTAATCCTGCCTGGTGACGTGGCCAAAATAAGTGAGAGTCTCACATCCCCACTTCTCATGAGCATTCTGGCTGTCCTTCCTCTGGGACTCATTTGTTCTTCTGATAATCATTATATATTCAGTGTTCTTCAGTAACTCCACAATTCAAATATGGCAGTTCTTCTTTGATTTCCTTTGCAGTTGCCCATCTTTCACATGTGTATGAGATGATTGAAGAGACCATGGGTTGGGTCAGGCTTCTCTTAGTCATCGAGGTGTCATCTTTTCTTTTTTTTTTTTTCCCCAATGATTTTAAAGAGGTCTTTTGCAGCGTATTTGCCCATTGCATTCATGCTCATTGATTTTTGATCTAAGTAGAATGAAAACCCTGACAACTTCAGTTTCTTCACCACTTATCCTGATGTTGTTAATTGGTCCAGTTGTGAGGCTATTCATTTTCTTCTATTTATGACTACTGCTATCATTTTTGTGAAGAAAACAGTAATAATATAAGGAGCCATAAAGTATTGTGGAAGCAAAGAGGAGGCCACACTTTTATAACCTCAGTGATAGGGGTGGTCAGCTTACCTTCCACGTGAACCTAAGTATTAATGCATGAATAGGGGTCCCCTGTTTGAAAGCGAAGGGGTAAGGATCAGTTCAAGTGCAAGGTTCTTATTATTGGGAAGATGCATGGTCCATTCTTTTTGACTGCTTCTCAGACTGAGATTTAGAATCACCTGGAGGGAGAGCTTGTTAAAACTGTTTACCAAGCTCCACTCCCAGACTTTCTGATTCAGTAGGCATTGTGGGGGGTCTTCAAAATTAGTACTCTTAAAAAGTCCTCAGATATTTTTGATACTGCTGTTCTGGAAATTACATTTTGAGAACCCATGATAGTGAAGGATGGGACAAGTAATCTGGAGCCCAATTAATGGATTGCCTTTCTGACCTGTTAAAGTGATACATTAGCAAATAATTTTCAAGTTCCTACTGTATTCCAGACAGTGCTAGCCACCAGGGTGAACAAAATGAATAAAAGATCATCCTTGACCTGGGCAACCATATATAGCACTCCTTTAGCTACAGAGCCAAATCACAATGAAAATATGAAACATCTGGAATTAGGATACATGGAAGACCTTTTTCGTCCTTTACACTAAAGGCTCTTTTGGGCAAATCTGTTGCACATCTGAAGAGTGAAAACTCAGTCAGCCTCAGTCTCATTCCAGGCCCATTTACAGAAAAATATTCTGTCATGAGCTCAGGTGTTAGGAAAAATGATCAAAAGTGTTCATAAAACCTCAGCTGTTTCTTCCTTGCAAAGCTCTATAGTCAAAAAAACTAAACTCCATTTGTTTTGCAGCTAACATCTTTCAATAAGTATTTTGAGACCCACTGCTGTCAAGTGGGGCTCATAGCAACCTCTCCTTGGGTTTCTGAGGCTGTATCACTGTGGAAGTAGATTGCCCAACCTTCCTTCCGAGGAGGGGCTGGTGGATTTGAACCATCACCCTTCTGGTTAGCAGTCAAATGCCTTAGGAGAAACCCTTAAAATCTGATAAGGATAAATCTACTTACTTACTTGAAAATGTTAACCAGTTTATAAATAACTAGTTATTGTTAGCTATTGTGGAGTTGGCCCCCGCTTGTGGTGGCTTCATGTAGAATGAAACAAAACTGCCCAGTCCTACGCTGTCCCTATGATGGGTTACAGATCAGACTATTGTGATCCATAAAGTTTGCTTTGGATGACTTCCAGAAATAGGTCCTCAAGCCTTTCTCCCTAGTTCATCTTAGTCTGGAAGCTCTACTGAAAACTGTTCAGCATCTCATAGCAACACATATATCATCACTGAGAGATGGGTGGAGGCTGCATATGAAGGGCATTAACCAGAAAAAAACAAACTCATTGTTGTTGAGTCGGCCTGACTCATAGCGAACCCTTCTTGGGTTTCCAAGGTGGTATCTCTACGGAAGTAGATTGCACAGTCTTCCTTCTGAGGAGTGGCTGGTGGGCTTGAACCACCAGCCTTCTGGTTAGCAGACAAATACCTTAGGCACTATGCCACCAGGTTTTCTGTATTATAGATTTTTTGATTTTGCTTATTTTAAACCAGTGCATTTTCTACTTCTCACCCATGCAAACTTGAGTCAGACCTGTAGCTGTATCTATAGGAGATTGACCCAGGAGTGTAGAGTGACGGCTTAGTGGTAAAGAGAAGCTACTGTCCTCAACAGCTTTATGCTTGTTCTTCCTCATTGTTCAAGAATGTGAAGTGAAGTTATAATTGCTACTGAACTATGATTACTCAACCAATATGTTTCTGTGTATTTGTGTCACAGATGGATTTTGATAGTGGCCAGGTGAATCCATTGGCTTCTGTAATCTTGCCTCCAAATTTACTTGAGAACTTAAGTAAAGAAGAGTCTGCATTAGTTAAAAGAGCACAGTTTACTTTCTTTAATAAAACTGGACTTTTCCAGGTAAGTGTTTGAAAAATCATTGTGATTCAACTAAACAAAAGTTCATGGCTCAAAGGTGAAAACAAGAAAGCAGATTCTTTTGAAATATTACCAGAAGGTATAGAAAAATTAATTTACTGTACTTTTAAAAATGAAAATTTTTAATAGGATTTTTTAAATATGGTACTTTAGATAATAATATGTTTATTAACAGGATATGCTTATTCCAGTTTCTTTTTAGTAAATCAAATATTAGGGCAAGACTTGCATGAAACAATTAGAAATTGAATTAGTGAAAAATTTATTATTTATTATTCCTTTTTATAAATATTTTATGCTATCTGGCTACTCAGCCCTTCAGAGTTAAAGAAATTGTAGACCAAAGGAAAGGATTTTTTTTTTTCTAATTTGGCAGGAAGCTCTGTTTACATAATGGGAAGCATTCTTGGCTTTAATCAGTTTTCCCATTAGTATTGCAAATGACCTTTTGCCTTCTCACATCCACAGAGTAGGGTGGCATTGTGCTGAGCACATATTATCATTTTTATTGGCATCATTTCTAGATACTAGAAAATCCACTGCCAGCAAACAAGAGTGACCTCTGTTTGCCTTTGAAACTGCAACTCAATCTAGAGCAGTTTCACTGAGCCCCTATGTAAAAGTAAAAGCTACCTAGTAAATGGAAGATACCGGTGCATATCAAACAATGCAACCTATAGAAGAGAAAATAGTAAATCTCAAGGTGGTAGACTTGTATCCGATAAATGTGCCCTGTGTGACGTGTGTACAGGAATGTCGAAATGTGGTTACAGGCCAACTAAAGGAGCATCATGGAATCATTTACAGTAATTAATTGCAAAAATTTTAAAATTTATCAGCAACTATGTATTATGTTACAAGCTGTATAAAAGTTTTGAGTGCATTGGAAATGTAAAATGTATCTTTGCCCTGTAGGATTTTATAGCTATGAACACATACAACCTTATTTGTTAAAACTATTTTTATTTTTATTTGAGACTTGAAACAATGTTACCTTTAAGAAATTGCAAAAAAAAAAAAAATGTGGATGTCACAAAATGTGATGTTACAAAGAGAGGAACCAATTCAGAGAAGATACTGAGTACTGTAGGCTGGGCAAAGTTTGGGACAACAGATTTGTAAGAATCTGTTATTGTTTAATTTTGAGCCTTATCTTATCCATGACATTTTTTCCTTCTTCTTTGGCAACTTTGGCATCTCCCCATCAAAGTTGTTATTAGGAAGCATATGTTTGGTTTTTAAAGCAAGGAAAAGTTAAATTGATGGCAGAGAGAAAAATTTTTAAGAGTTCTGTGGTATTCCCCATGTGTGGGAAGATATGTGTTTTTTTTCTTTTTCTTTTAATTGTGATAAATATATAAAACCAAACTCACTGCCATTGAGTTGGATCTGACTCATAGCGACCCATCCTTGGGTTTCTGAGGCAGTATCACTACGAATGTAGATTGCCCAACCTTCCTTCCAAGGAGCGGCTGGTGGGTTTGAACTGCCAGCCTTCTGGTTAGCAGTCAAATGCCTTAGGCACTGCACCATAAATATATATGTGAAAAAAAAAAGCCGTTTTTACATTTTTTAACATGTACAATTCAGTCACATTAATCTCATTCATCTATTGTTCAACTGTCACCAGATTTCCTGTCACCTAATGGGCGAGTCTCCCTTTCTCCCTCTTTCCTACCCACCTCTGGTAACCACTAGGTCCATATGTACTAGCCTGTTCTAGATATTCTACTCAGTATAATGTTTTCAAGATTCATCCATGTTGTATCACGTATCAGGGCTTCATTTCTCTTTAGGGCTGAGTAATATTCCATTGTATGTACATGTTCAGTGTTCATTATAAAACTACTCACAGTAGTCGAAAGATGGAAATAACCTAAATGTCCATCAACAGATGACTAGATAAACAAAAGATTGGTCTTTTTAAAATAAAAGTCTATTTTTAAAGAATTTATTTATAAGCTGTGATAGAGAGAGAGAGAGACTCATGAGGCTTGAACAGGAACACAGAGGAAACAAAGAAGCAGAGACGAACTAGCTAGAGAGCCGTCCTGTTGGTCTAAGTCATTTTGCAGCGCAGACTCCTTAATTTGGTTTCCTGACAGCCTTATCTCCGAAGTGGAATCTGCAGATGCTGGCAAGGATACAACCAGAGCAAGAAGGTAGACATTCTGGACAGGAGTTGGATGCAGTAAATTACATTTAGATGTAGGTTAGTAAACACGTCAGGCTGTTGGCATGAATGGAAACGTGGATTGCTTTGTATTTTCCACACCATATTTCCTTCATATTCTCTAAAGGAAAACAACTTCGTCTACTTTATTGCATAGGAAAATGATCTAATTGTTTCACAGCTTTTTATGAGTTTATATTATGTGGGTTTGCATTGTTTCAGACATTAAGTGGCTGACATCAGTCACAGCAATCAAGAACAAAGTTTTATGAATGTTGCTTTACAATATTGACTCATAATGTTCCCCTGATGTATTTATTGTAATAAAGGGAAATAGCAAAGCAACTTCAGGAAAGCCAGCAATTTGAATTTATAAACAGGACGTTCTATCACTGAAGATCTTAAATATAAAAATTGCTGACAGTCTGCTTATTTTGGAGTACCAAAACAAAATAAAAGGGTGCACTTCTGACAAATACATGTAGTTTTTTTCTTTTTTTTTTTAAAAGGATGTAGAAACCCAAAGAGACAACTTAGTGAGTTATGTGATGGCATGCAGTGTTGGAAACCTTACTCTCCAGGATCTGAAGGATCCTGTTCGTATTACTATCAGACATACAAGAGTTCAGGTAAGATAATGCGACACGGTGATTGAATAGAGGCAGACCCTTGCAGAGCATTGCGAGCCTTCTGACCCACATGATAAGAAGTCATTACCCTTTTCTTTAGGGGGCAGTTTTTTGGAAAGGGAAAGAGCAGCTAGTCAAGTAGTGTTCTAACATCACAGTACATGGTAGCAACTGGAGGGGAATTCATCTCGCTAGAGAGTCCCTGGGCCGTGCTAATGGTTAATGCACTCTGCTGCTAGTCAAAAGGTCAAGTCTACCCAGCCATGTCTCAGAAGAAAGGTCTGGCAACCTACTTTCAAAACCCAGTCATTGAAAACCCTGTGGAGCACGGTCCTACTTTGCTATACATGGGGTCACTGTGAAATGGAGTTCACTTGACAGCAATGGATTTTTATTTGTTTGGACTAGATAAATGGAAGGAGAATGGGAGTGTAGAAAAGGTCACTCATGAGTTTCTTCAAATCAGTCAGATGCAGATGCAGTTGCACGATACTGCCGTTAAAGACTCTGGTGGTTTCTTCATATTTTTAAAGTCAAAGATAACCACAACTGGGAAAGCAGAGGGGAAACTGGGGGTGGGGGGACAGACTGAATTTTTGAGCCACTGGCTGTTGATTAAAACCTTGGCAAATACTGCTTTTGTTGTTGCCTCATTACCCCTGCTGTCATCTGATTGTTTGACAGAAATAGATGAGGGCGCACACTATCCCAGATGGCTGAGGCCTAGGTTTTTCTCTTGTTTGGAGAGGGTCCTGGTCATGACTTTGCCATTTATTAGACAGCCTGGAAGGCAGGCAGGAAGTGAACGGATTAGAAAAGTCTGACTGGCTGCTGGGAAGTTAAGTCATCTAAGAACTAGCCTTGTTTAGTCACTGACCCTCTGAGACCTCCCTGCCCTACCCTTAGACCTCCTTTGGGTCAGCTTCTTTACCCGTGGAGAAGAATTTTGAAGATGAAGTTCAATGATAGTGTAAAGAGCTTTGATCAATGCTGAGAATGATAGTAGAATCAGCATTTTAACCCATTGCTGTGATATTTAATATTGAAATGGCAACCCCACGTATTTCTGAGTAGGACTTCACTCCATAGGGTGCAATTGCTATAATCTTATGGATGCAGATTGCCAGCTCTCTCTTCCATGTCACCACTGGATGGATTAAACTGCCAACCTTTCAGTCAGTAGTTGAGTGCAGACTCTCTTCACTGCCTGTGATGGGACATACGTAGTAACCTGTAGACCCTCATGACTCCTCATGAGGTTATGGTTGATTCGCACTTGAAGTATCTCTATCAGAGGACATCTGTGTAGATTGCCTACTGATTATAGGTGGTATTGGCATGGCTAGTGCTGACCCATTTCTCTGTGAAGACCTTGGCATTTTTACTCTTGTCCCATATTTAAATATGATTTTAAAAGTATTTTAAACACAATCTCCTGTGTTTATTCTTATGTTAATATAGGCAGTACATCATCCCATCTGTGCCTTCTGGGATCTGAACAAAAACAGTAAGTTTTGAAACATTCATTGTCTTAATATAGAGAACAACTTCATTTTAAACATTACTAGACACCCCCGCTTCCTTTTTTTTTCCCCCACAGAGTGAGTCACGGTCTACGTGTAATGTGGCAATGGAGCTGCAGAATTTAATTTAGGGACCTTGGAAAGTCAGTTCTAATTTCTGTAACTTCTTCTGCATTCCAAGAGGAAATAGTCTAAATCAATTTGTTTTTTTAAATCCAGCAACATCTTTGATTTTATTTTTTTGTAAAATACAGTATACATTTTTATGTCACTTTTACTAAGCTTAGATACACACTTGATCTCATTCTTCTCAGACACTTCTGGGAAACTTGATGTGCAGCAGGCATGCCATTTGAAATCTAGCTTCCAGACCTCAAATTCCAAGTAGAAAAGCATGCTAAAGGAATGTGAGGGTCAGCTGGTTATAATGGAACTGTTATTTGAAAGAAATGAACTGCCACCAAAACGACATTTGACAGTCGAGAGGAAGGTGAAATTAAAGAAGTCACTAGGCTTGAGGTGTAGAGATCTCTTTGGGGTGATGTACAAATAATGAAACCTTCCACCTCTGCCCCAGTGTCACCTTCCCTCAGGGTGCCTCGTTGGGTTTTTGTGGCTGAATCCATAGTGGTGCAGTGCAGCCTCTGTTCCTGGTAAAAATCTAGCCTGGAAGTGGCCCAAACCCTCTTTTCTGACTCTCCTCATCCCCCATCTCAGACAGTTTTATTGTTGTTGTTATTACTTTGGGTTTTAGTTACACAGTTCTAAGAAGATCTTAAGTTACTCAGATATATAGTTTAAAATGGTATGTCACCTCATAGCCTTAAAATGTATTTCAATTAACTGGACCAATATGCAACAATATATGAGTTACTCACATTCCATAGCACACTATGAAAGTCAGATGCGGCGTGGTAAAGCCCTTTGCAAGTAAGTTATCACCATGCCTGTTTGCTGTGTGCACAAGCCCAGAACAAGCAGACCTTCTCTGTTTGCTTTCTTCACAAAAGGGTAGACTGACTCTAGAAATTAATGTGTTAATCCCCAGAGAGTTCAGTTAGTATGTA